ATTTATTATTGTGTCGATTTTTTTTACATAAGGTATAATGTATATTAAAAAGGGAAAAAATTAGAAAGTTGTTAAATTTTAAATGAGAGTTAATGAAATTTAAAGTTTTTCTTAGTTTGTGTAAAACATGATAAAAGTAACTTATAAATAAAACCAAAGGAGTATATATGTTCACAAATGGCTTCCATAATACACCCTCCTGAAGTTATTGTAGAAGCCCTTCTAAAAGAAATTCTTGGTCTTTTTTATAAGACCATTTGATAGTTCAATAAGTATTAAATACTTTAATCTTTTTTATAAAACCATTTGATAGTTTCAATGAATATTAAAATTTTTTTTCATATATGCCCATATTTAAGGAGGATAGTGAAAGAATAAAAATTAATACCACTCTGGTCAAGGACATAATTAAATACACAAAAATTTTCACTTTTATTTTTATTAAATAGCTAGTATATTTTTCCTCACTCATTCCTTCTCTCTTCATCTTTACATTTGGCTTCCTTAATTAATAGGGATAGAATTAGAAATGACGCATTAAAAAGAGTATAAGTGGCAAATAAGAAGGACCAAAATTTCCTTCTACAAATGACAATTAAAAAGGACTAGGTAGTATAACGTTAGAATTTAGTATAATTAATTTGGATAATATTAAAAATTACTTGAATTTTATGAAAAATTTAATATTTAAAATTAGTTTTATTGGTACATGTGAATTAATTAGTGGGTTCTTATAATAAGAACTCGAGGAAGTATATAATCTAATAAATACGTATAAATATTTTAGAGAGATAATGTAACTAACATATGTTATTTCATTTAGCTTTCTTAATTTTTTTCAAATTAGTTAATTGAGTTGTATATTAAGTAGGGAGAGAGAATACTTTGAAACGGAAAGTGTAGTACATTAATATGTGCTTGTTAGCTTAATACACACGCGTTGTTATACGCCGATCCCATATTACAATGTGCCTCGTAAATCAATCGTAGCCAGAAAAGCTGAAAAGGAAAGCTGAAAACACAGAAGCAATTAATTAAACGGATCATTTCATGAGAGAGATCGAGGAAGACTTTAATGCAGTTAGTAGTATTATTAGTTGCTCTTATTGAAGATGAACCCCACCTACCAACAAATGCTATTCACTAGGAAATCAATCAACTGAAGAAAAACTTGCAGCAGTGAAAGTGATGGTAATTCCACATGCAACGCAGGCTTTAAGGCATCAAGTTGATAAAATCAATGGTGAAGGACCAAAGGAATTAAATGACTATCATATTCCTGCTGCACACATATCCTTTGCTTTCCTGTTGAAACAAGAAAACCTTTTGCTAATTAAGAGAGAACCCATATTTTAGTTGTAAGAGATCATTAGCATCCTACTTGCATTTGCTGAGAAGATGTTTCCAATTCAATATCTGCCATTTAAGGTTTTAACATACAGATTAAGACATAATTAATACATTATTTAACAATTATTATCAACCAATTCAGGTTGACATGATTGATACGGATTCTCTCGTCATTTAAGCAAGTGATTAGAAGTTCAAATCCTATATTTCACCCAATATGGCACTTGGACTGATATGATTTTCTTTTCAACAAATCAACTATTATCTGAAGTAATATTAGAATCCAACTATAATTCAAATTCGAGCAGAGTCGAGCCCCAAATAAAGAGTAACTTTTCAAAAGGCGTTTTCTTCATTCATATGGGATAAAAATATAAAATAGAAACAGTTGTACTCTGTTAGGATTATTTTTCATAAAATTAGGAAAATACATGAAAGGGGAAAAGATGGTTTTGTGGGTCAAAACTTTGACTTTCTATCTTGGAGAAAGAAGTAGGAAAATAGCGTCGCTATAAGGTGACTATATATGGTCAAAGGCTATGAGAGGGTTGTTTTGGGAGAATGGGAAAGTCACTTCCTGGGGCCTATAAATCGTCCTCTTGGGTTCGGCAGGATTGTGGAGAATTTGAGTTGTGGTCTTGGCCCTTGGGGTGGAAAGAGCCAAACTCTTGAAAGTATGGCAAGTCTGTTGGTCCATTTTGTTGTATCTTGTTCTGTTTGTGGATCTTGTTCTGTTCCTTGTTAGTTTGTAATCGTCACTTCCATTGTTCTGTTCCTTGTTAGTTTGTAATCGTCACTTCCATTGTAGCTCACTGTAGCTTATGTATCAATCTCAAGTGTCCCCTTGTTTATTTCTGATTTTTAGTCTCGTTGTAAGTTTGTTTATAAGAGGCCCCTATCATACTCTCAATTACAAGTTTTGGCCCATTAACAACTGATCCCCTCTCTGATGTTGCTTTCGATATCACTGCATTCTGGCAGGAGAGGCATCAGTGTTTACTGGCGAGCTCTGCATCCAAAATAAAAATTAATTGGTCTTCATATCTCCATCCATCTTTGGATTTGATTCAAGTTTATTGCCCGAATATATATGCACTTCGCCACAATGATTCTAAAAGGACTTGTTCGTACACTTTCTGGTTCACCTAATTAGTATCAAAGCCATATGGTCTCTCATCTTTCTATGTCTCTCTTTTTCACTGAACAAAGTTATCAGCTTTCAAAAATGAATCTTCTCATCTAAAGATGGATTTGACTAAAGCAAAGCTCTATAGTTATTTGATTATCAAGTCTTCTGATAAGTGCACGCTGGTCATGACATATATATATGAGTGCTCATTAGAGAAACTTTGGTGATTATTGTTTTCTTCTTTCAAGAATTAATGACTAATTACCACACTGAAGTTAGCTAGAAAGCTAGTCTTAATTACATGAAGATAACTCTTCATTCAGCCACTGCAAGAAATTTTTTTAGCGACCATGACAATAGTTACAGGGTGAGCGGCTAGAAAATAGGAGGGACATATAACATAATCATCTTAATTATAATTTATATAAATAACCAGATGAACATATCAGATTTATGTTCTGTCTGCAAAATATTCTCTGGCGTACGGTACAAGGAATACTGGCCACATAAAGTTTAGTTGAGCAGATACACAAACATCACAAACACACACAGACATGTACATAGACATACTTGCAAGGTCACATGCACGCATAATATATACTATGTTTTTGTCTTCATTTGCTTTCTCACTTTCACATATTTGAGGGCTTCAAATACTTAGGGCTCGTTGTGAGAAGGAGGATGTACATCAGGTGGATAGTCATAGTCCGAGGTATGCTTTGGATTTCCCTCCCTAAGTTTCTTGCGAGGCAGACCCAAATTAACTGGAACAACAGGCTCCTTGTATTTTTCAAACTTTTCGCTTTCTTTTGGCTTCTCAGTATGAGCAACAAACTCAGACTCCATTCCTTTATCTCCATCTCTTTTCAGTCCAAGCTTCATTGCAGAGGAATCGTCAAAGCCATTTTCTCCTTCATTCTGCACATAGAAAATGCAAGCTTAACACATATAAGCCAATTTCTAAATGAAAGCCAGCTCAAGGTAAAGCAATAATAATTGAGACAGGTAAGTGTGCGTGTGCGTAACTGTAACGTGGTTGTAGTTGAAATACCTTGGGAAAGAAATGGGTTTTCTTCTCCATCTTATGATCAAGAGTGCCTAAATGATGAGCTTTGCATGCATGCAAGAAAATGCATAGAAGGAGAAGAAGGAAGCATTTGACTGACATATCTGAACCCTTGAGGTATAGAGTAGGTTATGGGTTAAGGATTTGAAGGGATGTAGCAGAATATTTATAGAAATGGAGAATTTAATGAGGCACTGAATGCTGTAATCTTGGCACAGAATGTGGAATATAGGGATGTGAAAGATATATAGTGGGTTACTTTGGCATCTGTTCTTATTTCCAACAAGTATAGAAAATAGGATGATATGCTTAATGAGAAGGTTGTTTTGAAGAAATTAACGTTCTGATATTTCCGTTTATCTTTGGACCAACTTGATATTTCTGTTTCAAAATCAGAAAAATGAAAACAACTTTGGCATGCTTTCTTTCTTTTTTTAACCAGGGAACTTTGGCATGCTTTCAAACAATATTTTAATCGGATATCTTATTGATGACACTGCCATCCTTTTCTTCCATATGAATTGTATCTTTTATAGAAAATGGAAAGATGACATTTTTTCAATATGAAAGTCACAATTATAAAATTGGTGTTTTGTGGTTGTCATTTCCATGCTTCTTGTAACATGTTAAATCACACTAGAAAGTCCAAACGTTTTTTTTTAATGAAAAATGGCATTTAGGGAAAAATTGCAAGTGAAACACAACGAACAAGTAATGGAAATTTAATGTATAAGTAAATGGTTCTTTCTATCAACTGGGGAGGAGATAACGTACGTAATTTCCCTGGCTATTATATATTTCTTGCATAATCAATGTAAATGTCCCCTAAATTCGTAGCAGGGCCAGCTTTTATTTGACTAGGAACTTCATAAATGAAGCACACATGCACACACCCACAAACATATAATCATATATACACTTTTTGTAAAGAGGAAAAAAAATCTTCTTTTTCACTTTCTTGTGGATTTGATTGTTTTCTTCGCAATCAAAGTGGCATTTTTAACATTAATACAGATTAATAACCACTTAAATGCAAGGAGAGAGGGAATTTAGGCATTCAGTCCATTCAACTTTGGTATCCTCAACCGGTAAATTGTCAGAACAAAAATAAAGAAAATAATTAATAATTAATAAATGGTTGAATCTTTCGGGACTATTCTATTTTCCTAACATCCGCATCAAAATAAAAGTATTTAGAAGTTTATTAACCAGAGATCTTTAAGAATTTAAGTCACAGGATGATTTTTGTGTGAACACTACCTTGTGTTAGGCATTAGTTTTCCTATCGAGCTAGCTAATATCCAATAATAGAATTGCCATAGGAGCAATTTTGTGGTTTAATTATAAAGATATTCTTAAGTGGCCTGCAAATGGTTGAAGTGGCACATTTAGCTGTGGGGTTTCAGGGCATGCATACAATTCAGAAAAGAATTATGTACAAGTGGCAAATTACAGAAAGAGAATTCTCTTTTTAGGGAATCTCTCAACAGTATGCTATATATATTAGTATTGGGTGAATGACATTTGGCACAATAAGTATTGTTACAATTTAGTGTAATATACATCACAACCTGCACCAAGAAAATCAGGCTGTTGCGAGCCATACAGCTTCTATTACAAAGAATGAAAGATTACTCTGCGCAGGCAACAAAGACTGCAGAGAGCTACTATGTACTCAGCTTTCTTTCGGCACCAGAAGGCGGTCTTGGCCTTCGATGAGCTTTGCAGAACGAATAACATCACCAGTTTTTATCTGAGGAAGAATCTCTCTCCCAACAGTTGTGTATCTGCACCAAAAGTTGATATATGTGAGAAATTGTCCCTTATGAAAGTGATCATGTAGCAAGACATACTGATTATAACTAAGAGCATACCCAAAAACTGAAAATTGTCCTTCATCGAAGGATATGCCTCCCAAGCCGGCCTATAAAATAGTAAAAGAGGATGCATAAAATGAAGATGAGAAATAAATTAAGCAAGCCTGGGAAAATGTAATTATAAGCAAGCACAACTAGGTTCATAGAGCCTTTCTTGAGCATAACAGGTGCTACTAAATCCTAGGCATGAATACTAACAAAAATCTTAGATGCAGTTATTAGGTGTTCTCTGCAAAATTATAACATGTGAAAGAATTCGCTTGAGTGTCCATAATGTAATGTTTAAGCTTACATTTCGTTTATCATAAAGATAGAAGAAAAACTGATAAGGTGATGAGTACTCCTCAGAGTCTTCACTATGCGCCATGGCGAGTGACCCATAAACAGATAGAGGAAGAACCGGCAGCTCTCCATCCTTCCATGAAAGGAAAACAGACATGAGAAACATCTTAGAAAAAAGAACTAAGTAGCAGCCAATTTGGTCGCAAGCTTTATGGTAAAAGGAGGCAAACTTACTTGCACATCTAATGTTGTTTTGTAGAGAGGCTCAAATTGTCCAGAGGGCATTAATTCTAAGGGAACACTAAAACCAGAGTTCTTATCAAGTCCTTTGTCTGAGAGAATAGCTTGGTTGGCACAGTTGAGCTTTGAACCATCATATGCTCCATCCATTACCTGATGAAAAATATAACAGTTAGTATAGCTCCAGATGTTTACAACGTCATAAGATAAAGTCAGGGGTGAGGAAGAACTATATAATTTCAATTGACTGGTTCAAATAATACAGTTCCAAGGAAAAAGGAAATCAGAAATATTCTAACAAACAAAAAAGTTTAGTAAATGAGAATGGTATTGACATTTGTTATCCGATGAAAGACATATGTAATCTTGTAAATTTGAGGTTATTGGGATTCTCATTGCTTCATTGGTAAACTACCCACACTTTCGTGCTCTATCATATATGATATTAAACTTTTCATCTTTAAAACCAAGTATTTCTATGATCCATATATTTTTCATTAATGGCACTGATGGTCAGTCACCGCCTCTATTTAGATTTAAAAGCGTTTTAATCATTCCCCTTCAACTATTTTTTCCTGCTTACATATCTGAAAACGTTCTACCTATGATCTATCAACTTAAAATTGAGCATTAGATTCAAGATCTTGACAATCTCTTAAAAAGTCGTCTTTCCAGCAAAAAACTTTCTGATTGTATTATTTTCAATAATAGTACTAAAAGTTAAATTGCAGAGGAGAGGGGAGAGAGAGAGCGCTAACAGTTCAGGTGTTAATTGACTATTATTGATTTAGGTTATGCATCACACATTAGAAATCTAAGGGCAAGCAATTAGAGGTGGGGAATAGAAAAGATATCGTAAAACATGAATGCTAATAGCAACCAATGGCCAACATCTCATTAAGATACAGTGATGTTCAACTACCTTACCAGTTTTGCGAAATTCCCAGCAGTCAGTGGTGCTGAATATCCATCTATCACAACCTGAAAACGCATATTAATCAACCATTTTTATAATAAGATATATTAACTATCCATTGGTAAAACATGGTTAAAAAATGTAATTTACTGTTTACTTCAAGCCCAAACAGAACCACATGTAATATTCTTTCAAAGAGGCTTTCCTTATAGCTAAATTCATTCATTTTGGAGGACGCTTAGCAAGTCAACAATCCAACGATGCTTGCAGAGGACAAAAGTAGGAAGAAAAATGTACCTGGATAGTAGCAGTTTTTCTCTCTTCACCACCAACCGGAGAAAAAACTGAACCATCTCCTTTCTCAATTGTAAACTCAACAGTTCCTCTCCCGGTAAGCCTGCAAGAGATTATGGTGATATTGTTTTGTTTTGGTCCTTTTATTGTTTTTTTAAATCCCAAACCAAAATGTGTAAACTGCCATGCACTGCTATCCAAAATCACATTTATAGCTTTTCTTTAATCTTCTTCCCCGGTTTCAATTAAAAAAGCCACAATGATTATTGAAAATTAATAAAAATGTCACTTACCGTGGATATTGCAAGTATTGCTCAGGCAAGAGAAAAGACAACCCTGGAGCCTGTAAAGGTTTCACAAACAGAAATATGGTTTCTTTTTAAGCCAACGTCAGTTTCATAATCTATATAACATAAAAAGTAAAGACAGCTGTTATTTTTTCCAGGAGACCGTCATATTAATTATGGCTTGCAGTTACCTGTAATAATTCTAGCTCTGCTACAGTATCCAGCGCAGATGCAAGGCCTACAGACACCTTATCAGCATCCTGTGTTTTAATAGATTGAAGGAGAGCTTGTAACCCTCCCTACAAAACATGATAAACTTTGAACTCAGTCTGAAAGCTTATATACTCTACAGTGAATCATGTAAACCAATTTTTAGATGATGTTAATCATATAGCATTGTAGAAGATTTCATTGTACTAATTAGGGGACATAATGATATGAGAATGAGAAAAGATAGTAAAATACTGCACTAATAAAAGAACGTGACGTTTCTTCTTGATTGCTTTTCCTTAGTCCAGCTCCTTGTTTGGGATGTATGATATCTCAATACTGACCTCTTTCAGTAACAAAAAAAGAAACACTAGAAAAAAAGTGTTCCTTTCCAATTCTAGGATTCTCATCTCATGTATGCTTATAGTCAATTCAACTCAAATCATGATAAACATACCTGATAACAATGACGTTGTATTTGAGATATGCAGGCAAATACTAATTTTTTTTCTCGTTTAGAACAAGAAGGAAGGCTTTTAAAATTTCTATAAATTTATCAATATATGGAAGACATGATGATTGAGAAATTAAAGGCAGTGTCACTTTGTAGAGTACCTTTCCGTCAATCAGAGAGGCATGTACCAAAGAACCCTTTTCCCTCAACTCTTCTGGTATACTTCCTAATATTGAGTCCTTTTCGTCTACTGCGATCTGAGTAAGGAAGAACCGAATGAAAATTAAATGAACTCATTCATAACACAAAAGGGCCTAAGTATAAGTAGTTTTGCTTTTCATAAGGTTTCTTAGAGAACCACACATCGAAGAAAAAGCCCATAATAAGAAAGCAACAAATACCTGCAAGGCTTTCTTCACATTCCCCTCCATTGTCCCATAAGGTTTTCTCTGTGGAATTCTTAACAAGTATGATATATCTTCAAGAGAGGCCTAAAGGAAGAGGCAAGACAGTCTGCACACTTATCACTTAAACGCTAAGAGAGCCCAAAAATATATTTAATCAGTGACAGCAACCTGGATAGTCTTCATGTTTGTGTTTGCAGGGATAGCCCGCCTAAGAGCAAGTTCTCCTGTTCTGGGAATCTTAGTGTCTGGTGAATATAGGATTGCATTTGCGGGAGATATAGTCCAAGAATCTGAGGCAACCATAGGAAGTGATAATGAAGTCTGAACAGAGACAATGATAGCAATGAGATTTTTGAGCTGGCTCATTCTCTGACTTATACTTGACAGGTGCAGCAGGAATGGAAAGCCATGCGAATCTGTAAAGCCCTGCACAATCAAAACTCCACTTCAACATGTAGAGAAACTCGCAACAAATCATCGAGTGGGTTGTTCATCTGAGTTTACAACATAAAGTGGGGAAGCTGGAACATAAGAACCACATGACACAGCACGTGGAAGATTAATTGACAAAGCTGCCTCCTTTCTTTTCCTTTTTCTTTTCTTTTTTTTTTTTTGTTGGTTCATTACGGCTACAGCAATTACTAATACAAAGCATTCTCTCAATAAGAATTAAATATAATGATGCAAAAAAAAAATCATTTCAACTAAAAAGCACAAAACTGTCATTCACCAGTGCCAGGATAAAAACAGTAATACTGTTATCTTCCGCTTGTAGCTCTTCGGCAAAAGGTGAATATAAAAATATGATTGATCATGTTTGTTCGTGGTTTGACTTTTATCTACTCAGGTCAGGGTTGAGACTCTCTATCAAGTACCAGATCCCCATATTAAGTTTGCGGAACAGATTATTCACAAAGAACAGCCTCCAGGCTGGGCCATCAGAGGACAAAGGCTGAAATAGGTAAGGAGAATGCATGTATTCTGGAAACAGAAATTGCAAGGTTCAAGTTAGAATCGCCACAGAGATGACCGACATCACCCAACTTTTAACGGGTCATATGGACCAATGCTTCAACTCACTTCATATCCATACCTTCCCCTAACCTTCATTGTACGTCCAACACTCACATCATCACCACATTGTGTCACCAAAAGTCATTCGCATTTCATGATGACATTGTAATATTCAACCAGAAACCCGTAAGAAAATTATCAATATGCGTGCACCTACAGAATCCGAACCAATGGAACCTGATTCCAAAACACTATGGTCACCAGGAAAAAAAAAAAAGGAAGTGTATTTAAGTTGAATAAAAGCTAACCTTTCCAAGATCTTTCTTTGACAAGCAAACAATTCTGGGGCGACCTGATCTTTCTCGGTCTTCACCCTTTATTGGATTGAAGCTAGATAATAAATGGGTGGGAAAGAAAGTTTGATTTGGAGCAAAAGATGTGGTAGAGACATTGATGAAGAGCTTGTGGGAGATGCTGGAGGAAGATAAAGGAAACGCCATTAAAAGGAAGATGGTAATTGCAGTTAGATTTTGGCGCGCCTCATCCAGTAAGGCCTATCTGGAAGTCGTCGCTCAGTATTAGTTGTGGCTTTTTGCCTTGTTGGTAGCCAGTGAGATATAATGACGATAATACCCGTATTTGAAAGGTTAAATGCTCACGGTTTCGGGCAAATTTGGGACCAGTAAGAACACTCTTTGCCATGACAAGGGCTTTCCTTCCCACATGTTAATGCAATTACAGAATTTTTTTTTTTTTACCAGCACAATTACAGAAATTTATTACAAATAGAAGCCGCTAAAATATATGTTATTGAAACTTGAAAGATACATGGAATTGTCCAGAGCCCAAAGGCAACTCATCTTTAACGATGCAATTTGTCTTCAATAATTCACCTTTGGTTACATACAACTCTTCGTTAATTACATGTGAAGTAAAAAATATTTATAAATAACTAAAAATATATTTCACATAGCTTAAAAAAAATTACATCTTTTTAGGCATGAGATTAACCTAATTTGTATTAATATAAAAACTTGTTTAATTTTTATTGTACTTTGTCTCTCATATTTATTTATTTATTTAAAATATTCCTTGTAATAATAGTAGTTCTAACCAATATATTTGATTAATAACTAACTTAATTAGTTTTCTTAATTAGTTTTTAGGATATTTTAAGAAAAACAACATTTATTTATTAATAACTAACTTAACTAGTTTTTTTAATTTGTTCAAATTAGTCAACTAATTCTCATATTAAAGACCAGAAATAGTATAATAAAAGTTATTACTCCTCTAGTCTTTAACATATGGCCTAATAGTTGAGTTAATATTGGTCCTAAATATAGGACCTATTTCTTATCTTTATTAATTTTTTATAAATTATTTTTATTTATATTCTATTAATCATAACCAAATACGAAAAAAAATAATATTAAGAAAGATAATTATGATGTTTTAGAAAAAATATTTCATGTTTTTATACTTAATTAACTTAACTAATTTTTTTAATTTCATCAAATTAATTAAATAAGTTTTATATTAAGTACCAGATAAGTATAAATTTTATATGTTATGTCAACTGATTTTTTTCATTTACATCTTGTACGAGGATGGTCATTGGTGGAGTGAATTTGTTCTTATTTGTTCCTTCTAGGATGGTAACGGTTGCCCTGTATTAAATATCGTATTTATAAAAAAGAAATTGAAATAAATCGGTTCGTTGGCCAAAAAAAAATGACAAGTGTTAAATCACTCAAAAAAAACAAAAAATAATAAATGTATGAACGGTTCGATGAGAAGCGCCATCATGGTGCCACTGTACACTGTGAAGCACTGCATCCTTGGGTTGTGAGACTCCCAACCTTCGAGCTCCATACTCGATCTTCAACTCGGTGAGCACAGGAGAAGAAAGCACACTTGTTTACACTCACTGAACTGCTCCTATCCCAGGACGCAGTTCCATTTATATGGATCTTTGATTCGGACGCAGTTGCTCTGGATCTGCCATGGCGAACTTCCTAGCTCAGTTCCAGACAATCAAGAATACCTCCGATCGCCTTGTCATTGCAGGTAAAACAAAAACTATACCATTGATTGATTGTTTTCAATTCTTTGAAAAATGAGGTTCATTGCTTCATTTGTCAAGAATTGATGAGTAAAGATCTAATCTTCTCGCATCAACGTTCATTTCTAAGAACATAGTTAGATTGAAACGCTAAATTTTTGAAACGAATCATTGGGTGGTTAATGTGAAAGTTATTGTCGTTAAGTAATTTGAACCGACTGGTCTTACCAACTTCTGGTTTCCCATATTAATCTCCGGAAGCATGTTCAAAAGCAATGAAACCTGTTCCGTTCAAGGTGGAACCAATATTTAGAGCAAGTCACTTTGTGCGTTCCGGATCCTGGTGTAAGGATTTGAGTTGCATTCTACGGTAATGAACTATTCTTGGTGTGTACCTTTGATGCGTCATACGTGTAAATGGTAATAACGCTAAGCTCCATTGGTTAACTCGAAATCTGAATTTCTGCACAACGTTTAATTGCAACTGGTTGTATGGACTCTGATATTCGATGTTAGTGGCAATCTATGATATATGTATTAGTTGATGAAACAATGATCATGGAATGGAGAAAAGCATTCAGTTTTTGAGGGATCATAAGAATGGCTCTTAAGCAGTGGCTATAGTTCATTATATTTAGGGTAGAGTCTTCATTCTTCTGATTGGTTGTCATCATTGCCAAAAAGTGAAGCTGAGATCTATGTATTTGGCCACCATTCTTCCTATCAATCTAGCAAAGGAAAAAAGTGGTTCTATCAATGATGTAGATGTGTTTGCTAATCTGAATAATACTCAATTACGATGGTTTTCAGTGGAAGATGTGAGTGACTTGTGGCCCACTGTCAAGACTGCATTTGAGGAGCGATTGCCATTTAAAAGGGCTAGTCTAAATAACAAGACAGGCAATCCTGTTGTTGTTGAGACCTTGCCAGCTGAGTTCATATTAACAACAGACTCAAGACTTCGAAGCCGATTCCCTCAGGAGCAGTTATTATTTTGGTTCCGAGAGCCATATGCAAATCTTGTACTTGTTACGTGTGAGGTATTAAATGTGTTTATAAACTCTAGAATTAATTTCTAATATTTCAATAATATCTCATGTTTGATGGGAGCATATGATTTAATTTTTATTCAAATACTTCGTATCAACTCATTTCTATATAACTTAGTTATAGTGTTATTAGTACTTCTTTTGCTAGATATATTGATTTTGCTTTTAAGCCATTCAAAAGACAAACTTGATTGAATCATAGGTCTCCAAGTAGTGTAACGGCTAACAAGACTGCGATATGGAGTTATCTTCCGAGCTTATATAATGTTTATAATGCTGTTATAAAGTGTCATAGACACTTCATAGTGGCATTGCATATTCCATTGCTAAAATGATGCCACAACCACTTTTTAAGAATCCAAAGACTATAATTTGGACAACATAATACCATTCTCAACTTTAGAGCATGTGAAAAATAGCATATCTGTATTATTAGATTTAAAAGATTTAAAAGATGTTTCCTTTCTTTGGTTGTTTATTTTAGAAATTTTTGCATATAGCCCTCCCTTTTTAGTTTTTAATTTGGTTGGCATTCCTACACCATGACTATTTTAGTTAACTTTCGCTTTCTTTCCCCAGGATCTTGATGAGTTCAAAACCATTCTTAAGCCACGCCTGAAATTGATTGTTCAAAATGATGATAAGGAATGGTTTATCGTATTTGTGTCTAAAGCACATCCAAGTAATGATCAAGCAAGCAAAATGGCAAAGAAAGTATATGCTAGAGTTGAAGCTGATTTTAATTCCAAAAAGAGGGAAAGGTAAGCTGGCCAAATTGAATTTGCACCAATAAAATTCTCCCAACTGCTGTTTATTCTAAATAGTATTTTAACTTACAGTTTGAATTGACTGCATTTGGTGAACATTAAAGAATACCAACCGATTGGCTCCATACAGTGATTTCTGGTCTTTTTGTGATGTGGCAATGCAGAAGTAAAAACTGAGTGGAAATTTTATTTTGTTTTTGGTGGTCACAGTTAACTAGTTTTCTAGCTCCAGGTTTGAGTTGTCTGCATTAGGTCAACATAAAAGAATTTTAACAACTGCTTGACTGTGTGCTGTAATTTCTGTTTTTTATGTGATGTAGCAATGTAAAAGTGAAAACTGTAAGTGGGGGATTATTTTTTTGCACATTACCGCTGCTGCATCATTATACTCTTTTGTGAGTTTCTCTTTTTGGCAGAAAGGCATGTGAACAGCTGGTTAATACATTATACTGAACTGAGTAACTTTTATATGTTAGTAATACATGGTTATACAAATGGTTCACTTTGGTTGGAAAGAGTTGAATGGGCACTTTTCTTTGACTTGATTCAAAGGTGCAGCTGGTTAAGTTCAGTAACATTATTTACAAAAGTCCATGTCCTCCCGTTTGATGTCATTTGCATTGATCCAGATGCTGCAAATATGATATGCATTGTCCTGAAGCAAATTTTTGGGAAGATCTGGAATCAAAGATTACAGAATGCATCAGAAATACACTAGATAGGCGTGTACAGTTTTATGATGATGAGATACGGAAGCTCAGTGAACAGCGTCTTATGCCAGTGTGGAACTTCTGTAATTTTTTCATTTTAAAGGTTGATCATTTTCTTATGAAGTTGGGCTTGAGTATAATAGATGTTTCTTTGTCTTTATTTAAGCGTGATCTGACTGATGAGGTCCCACTGTTACTACCATTTGTTGTTTTAGTTGTTCTCTTGCGTTCCAAGAGTATTTGAAAGAAGCATTAAAATTCTAAAATTTTAGTAAGTCTAGATTTCAATGGGCATATCAGAAATACTTAGGGTTTTTGAAGCCCTGTTTTCCTTGGTACTTACTTATAACTTTTATTTTCCATCATTCTAAGAGTGTATGGTTTTAGCTAACATTTGCTTTCTGTTTCCAGGAAAGCTTAGCTTTTATGTTTGAAATGGCTCACCTTCATGAAGATGCCTTGCGGGAATATGATGAGCTAGAACTTTGCTATCTAGAGACAGGTTCCCAATGCCTAGTTTTTATTTTCTCTTTCCCCCTGTTGCTTCTGTTGTCTTTGTTGCAGAGATTGTGCTAAACTGAGAGAAGATCCTGTGAATAACGAAAATGGATAAACGTTTTTTGGACATTGTTGCAGTCAACACTGGGAAGCAAAGGGACTTTGGAGGAGTAGACCAAGGTGATGATCAGGCAGCATTGATTAATCCAGGAAACAAAGCATTGACACAGATTGTTCAAGATGATTCATTTAGGGAATTTGAATTTAGACAATATCTGTTCGCCTGTCAGTCACAGGTTTGCCCTACCTGATAATCACTCATTTTACCCAGCACGAGTAGACTAGAAGCTCAGTTTGTGAAGCAGAATTAAGTTGACCTGTTAATTGTTATAAAGCACTGACATGGCTATTGCATGCATGTTAGACATCTAAGCTGCCACAACATTTTGCTGACATGTCTACAGACATATCAGAACAATTTTCGTCTGAAGTATTTTGACTCAGATGTGTGCTGAACTTGGCTTGAACTGTGCTAGACATGGCTCAGAGTCAGGTGATCCCAAAAGTGAAAATTGGAGGAGAAAACGGAACAAGAAGAAAAGTAGAATAAGACTAGAAGCCTCATTTTGAAAACAGACTTCAAGTTTTTTCTTAATATTTCTTAGTCATAAATAAGTAATTTGAATATTGTAGATTAATGTCTTTCTAATTTAGTCAATGATTTTAAAAAATAATACCGTGATACTTTTGAATATTGGATAATGCCATCTGTATTTTCCTTTAGAAGTATATCATTTGGTCTAAAAATATTAAGATTTGACCTCCCAAAGAAGATGAAATGTTTATAAAAGAAGCTAGAAATGGGGTTAACCGAGTTTGGAAACACAAGAATTGATGTAATGTGTTCACCAAAAAGACTTGATTTCCTGCGTGATAAAACTAGGAGCCTTCTACAAATTTGTGAAACATCAAATGTTCATGACGCATTTTCCATGTCAGGTTGAATTTTTTCTGCTTCTTTTTTTCCAATTGAAATAAGATACGTATTATTCATGAGAATATGTGTTGATCATATTGTGTTTCCAGAATGTTATTGATTGCTCTCATTATTTATCTTCCCTCTTCTCACGCGATCAAGTGTCTGCATACTGGACTTGCTTTTGTGAAATTTTATTCTGAAGTGTTTCAGGGATACTTTAAGAAAGGACAACCTGTAATCCTCGTCCTTATCCTTTTGGAAAATGTCCCTTTTGTGTGCATGTGCCTGAGCAATTTAGCCTCTTTTTTTAACACTGATTTATAGCTATATTTTTCATAAGAGATTGATTTTTGGCTGAGGTTTTTTCCTTCCTTCTGTTGACATTTTCGGTGTTTATGTTCCCATTACCATAGCCATGCTTTATCTGGTTTGATCTGACACAACAGACTATATTATAATTGAACTTTATGCATTTTACTGCCATTTGCAGCTCTTATTTAAGCTGAACCGCCCTGTTGAGGTTGCATCACGTGGATATTTATTCATAATAAGTTTCTCAAAATCCCTGGCATTGCATGAGGTATTTGTTCTTTAGTCATTCATATATTTTCCTATTACTTCTATATTTTTGTTGTAAATTTTTTCATTGTTTTCTCATTCATTTTTATATTTTTGACTTCTATATAATGTTTCTTTTCAGACTGTCCTACCCTTTTGCATGCGGGAAATTTGGGTGATAACGGCTTGCTTGTCTTTAATTGATGCTACCATATCTCACTATAAGGATGGACTTGTAGCACCTGATGTTGAAAAGGAGTTCTATCGTCTTCTTGGAGATCTCTATTCACTAGCCAGAGTTAAGGTAGAATATTTTATCTCATAAACTTGGTAGAGACTAGAATCATATTCAGTTCGGTGGGCTGTAAAATGAGGCTACAAGTCCACTGGCAGAAATCCACCAATAAGCTAATATTGAAGTGAAAAAGGGGCCTCGTCTTTGCCCTGTCTCATTTTATTTGATAGATAAATTTATTGATGTTATGATATATTATTTGTTAACTAAAGATACTTTCTGAATTGTGCGTGTTGGCAGTTCATGAGGCTTGCCTATTTAGTTGGTTATGGAAGTGATATAGAAAGAAGTCCTGTCAATAGGTATTATTTTAGACTTGACCTGGCCATTTACAATTTTATCACAGTGGAAATTATTTAGTTAGTTACATCACTTCGTTGATAATTGTTCCTTTAATTCTATATTTTTTCCTTCTAATAATATATATTTATTTTATCCGTTAGTAATAATTCTTTTCCTCTTGAGCAGTGCATCCCTCAGCTTGCTACCTTGGCCTAAGCCAGCAGTTTGGCCTTTGCTTCCTACTGATGCATCATCTGAGGTGCTTGAGAAAGAAAAGGTACCTTGTAGTTTTCTATATTGCGACACCACAAAAGATTGCGTTTAACAACTCTCAAACAGACTTTCCTGCATGATTTACTCATAAAATAACGAGGTTTTCAAATTCATGCACCATGAGATTACACAAACTTGTTGAGGACTTCTTAATTTGACAGGTGATCCCGTGCAATCTTATTTGCTTTAGTAAAGAACTTATTAAACTTTCTAACCTGCTCATTATAAGGATGATGAGATGACATACAAGAAATAGTTTCTTTTCCCCCCTTTTCTGAATACTTTACTAACATTATAAAGCTTACTGTCACACCCTTGATTGAGGGAAAGCTTTATGTTACCCTATATAAATTTTATACTTTATTAGGAAGGGAAAAAAATATGACTTGCAAAATGTGAGGCACATGTTTTATGCTTTAAAAGCTTAAAAACTATTATTTGAATTTTTCACACGAGTATTATTCATCATATATCTGATTTAAATAATGTTGCCTTATTTTCTGCAGTTGATTCTTCAAACAACTCCTAGAGCTAAGCATTTTGGGATCCAGAGGAAACCCTTGCCTCTTGAGCCTACTGTGCTTCTGCGAGAGGCTAACAGGCGTAGGGCTTCTCTTTCAGCTGGAAATATGTTTGAAATGTTTGATGGTCGCCCGGGTACAACTGATGGGTAATCAAATGCTCTATGCTCGCCATACATTTGTTTCAAGTATACTGTTCGGAGAAAAATTGCTGTTACAATATGGTTTTTATCAATCTGATTTATGTTCTGGCAGATCAGGTTTGGATGCATCCACAAGGATGTCATCACCACAAAAAGTACGAGCAGGCTCCATGTCACGCACTAATTCTTCACCTGCAAACTTTGATGGCTCAGTTGACCGGCCTATGAGACTTGCTGAGATTTATATTGCTTCTGAGCATGCTCTGAAGCAAACTATATCCAATTCCGAATTATTGAAATCACTATCATCTCTGGAAGAGTTTGAGGTATTATCATGGGCTGGAAAGATGGTCTTGAGCATATTGAAATCCTTTCAAGGGTCTTGTGTTTAAAGATTCAATAATTTATACCCACTCCTCATTGTTTAATTTTTTTTCTTCAGAAGGGGTGGTGGAGGCAAGTGATGCATTGGTGAATATTTATAATTTTTCTCTAGTACCATATAATTGTGTCTTAACTAACTTGTCTTGTACTGGCAGCAAAAATATTTGGAGCTAACTAAAGGTGCAGCTAATAATTATCATCGCTCCTGTTGGAATAGACATGGAGTGGTCCTTGATGGCGAGATAGCAGCTGTCTCCTTCAAGCATGGCCATTTTGATCAAGCTGCAAAGTCATATGAAAAGGTGTGCGCTCTTTATTCTGGCGAAGGATGGCAGGATTTGTTGGCTGAGGTCCTTCCTAATCTAGCTGAGTGTCAAAAGATCCTCAATGATCAAGCTGGCTACTTATTATCTTGTGTGAGGTTACTGTCTCTTGATGGAAGGTTATTTTCAACCAAGGAACGTGAAGCCTTTCAGTCAGAAGTTGTTAGACTTGCCCATAGTGAAATGAAGGACCCTGTGCACCTTGATGTGTCTTCATTAATTACATTTTCTGGAAACCCAGGACCTCCATTAGAATTATGTGATGGGGATCCTGGTACCCTTTCTGTGACTGTATGGAGTGGTTTTCCGGATGATATAACTCTTGATTCAATCAGTCTCACGTTAATGGCAACATTTAATGCTGATGAAGGCATAAAGGTATTTTTTTTGTTAGACTCATTTCTATTTACTTCTAGTGCAGCCTGGGCATTTTATTTATTTCCAAGTGTGGATTGTTGAATGACGAAGTTATTTAAATTATTTTAGGCATTAAAGAGTTCTTCAGCTATTGTTCTGCACCCTGGTCGAAATACTCTTACCCTGGATTTACCACCACAAAAACCTGGATCATACGTCTTGGGAGTTCTTACTGGGCAGATTGGGCAGTTGAGGCTCAGATCTCATAGTTTTTCAAAAGTTGGTCCTGCAGACAGTGATGATTTTATGAGTTATGAAAAGCCAGCTAAACACATTTTGAAGGTAGCTTTTCTTCTGGTGATGCTTTGCCTAAAATTCATGATCTCTCTCTGTTTATTCCATTAAAGATTTCCTTTCATTATATGACTCCTGAATTTAAATTAATATTTTTGTTATTGATGTATGCAATGTTACATTTTCAAAACTAGTGCTGGTTATCTAACAATTCCCTGTATCTGTTAATAGGTTTCCAAACCAAGAGCTCTGGTTGATCTTGATGCAGCCTTTTCATCTGCTTTGTTGATTAATGAAAATCAATGGGTTGGGATATCAGTACGACCTATAAATTACTCCCTCAAAGCTGCTGTCTTGCATATCGATACTGGCCCAGGTTTGGAGATTCAAGGCTCACATGTGATTGAGATGGAAAGTTGTGCTGGTCTATCACAGAATGAAGATAACCATGTTCAAGGCGATGGTGCTCAGAAAGGATCTTTAAATCCTGAGAAAAAATTTGACCGTTTGAGTCTAGTAGATGGGAAAATAGAGTTTCCAGATTGGGCAAGTGATATTCCTTCTATTCTTTGGGTTCCAATTCGTGCTATCAGTGACAAGCTCAGCCGAGGATCATCTTCAGGTAATGATATAAACATATTTAAAAAAAAAAAAAAAAAGGGATGATGATGTAAATTTTATGAATTCATATCTGTTGTTTAGATTAATGATACCGATGTAGTAAACTGTGTTTGCTGATGAGACTAATTTTATTGCAGTTGCAACTAGGAGACAGAGCATTGTGGACGGAATGAGAACAATAGCTCTGAAACTTGAGTTTGGAATATCCCACAATCAGATATTTGAAAGGTTATAACATGTCCCAAGATGTTTGTGTTTTATTGCACATAATAGATTATTCTGCTGTCATATAACGCAAGCCGTATATCTGGCTTTCCATTCCTTTTCTTTTTCTGCCAGTGCTTACCAAATTATTTATCGCCTTAATATCCAGGACTTTAGCAGTTCACTTCACAGATCCTTTCTATGTGACAACACGTGTTACAGATAAATGTCATGATGGTACCCTGCTTCTGCAGGTTCGGATCTCTCATTTGATAGAAATGCTTATTTATTTGCATTTAGTTGGCAAATGGAAACAATGTACCCAACCATCTAAGTTGACCTGCAATTTTTACTTGTATTAAAAATATATATATATGTATAATCTATTAGAAGAAATCTGCTACGATTTTGATTTGCTGTAAAGTTCACATTATCTGGTATGACTTCTAGGTTACACTGCACTCAGAAGTAAAGGCTACGTTGACCATATATGATGCTTGGCTTGATCTTCAAGATGGATTTGTTCATACCGATGGCGGCACTCCTAGTTTAAGCTTCTTTCCATTAGTTATATCTCCTTCTTCCAAAGCAGGAATTTTATTCAGCATATGCCTTGACAAGGCAAATGCAGAAGGTAATTTTCTTTTGCCGGTTATCAGTGGGATGATGTTGGTGTTAATTTTGATTGTATTGCTGTCATGATAATGAATTTGACAGCTGTCCTTTATCCAACCAGGGAGGAAGATATGGTGGGGGGAGTGAGAAGATATGGTGACTAGATGTCCTTAATGCTGAATAAGTGCCACCTAAGCATAACAAATTGCCATGTGTCACACCAAGTCATACTTAACCGAAGTCAGTTAATGGGATTAGCCTCTAGAATATATTTGGATCATTTTTCAAACTAAAGAATACATTGGAAACAAAAAAATACTTTACCAGTATGAAGCATTAAATATCCTTTTGGAACCTGAAGAGGTTTTGTTCTACAATAATTAAGTGCAGAATCGGGTGTTGGTACAGAAAATAAACTGGATGATTACATAATTAACTGAAAAAGTAATTCTATACTTTTCACCAGATTTGACGAGTCATTGATTGATTGACTTATGTTAGTTCAGCTAATATGTAAGCTCTTGTAGTTACCAATCAGGATGTGCTAAAAAGGCTCAGTCCTTGTGTTAAAAACCTGCCCAATTATAGTTGCCTATTCTCTATAATTCATTAGATGATTTGTTTATTCAAATATGACTTAATCCCTATTTGCAGAAGCAGCTCAGGAGAAACCAGAAAGCATCTTAAACATCAAATATGGAATTTCTGGCGATAGAACCATTGGTGCTCACCAACCGGTCTTGAATGAATCTTCTGGAGCCCACAGTTCTCAGGACTTGATCTTCAGGAGTGCAATTACTTTGCAGAGACCTGTGCTTGACCCCTGCCTAGCTGTTGGTTTTCTTCCTCTCCCTTCAAATGGCCTCAGGGTTGGGCAACTAATTACGATGAAATGGAGGGTTGAAAGATTAAAAGATTTGGATGAAATTGAAGCTTCCAAACACAATGTAAGTCTCAAGGAAGCGAACAATATTTACTGCTACTTTACATTTTCTTTGGTGTCTTAGATCTTTGAGGAGTAGAACTTATCTGCTGTTCTGCCTTTTGAACTTTAAACTTGATCTTACTTATGTGCACTTTTCACAAGTGAAGACGGCTTGTTTTTCATATCGCCATTTAGGTCTTAACTGCAGAATCCTGCTCAACCAAGCCTACTTTTTTATTTGTTTCAAGTTATACTTGAGGGATTCTGGGAACCGTCAAGGAACGGAAGAAAATTTGCGAGGAGAGTGTGTGCAATATTTGAATTTCCTATTATTTGTCGAATGGAAGAAATAGAACTAGGAACTGATAAGCATACTAAACTATGTGAAAAGAATTTGAAATTGATTAAATATTGATATGGCAGCTACCCTAACCACTTCAATCTTAGATCTGATTCTGTTGCCCATGCATTTGCTCATTTATTAATTCCTCCCTTAAAAGTTCAGTCCTCCAATCTAATAGAAAGTTTAATATATGTTCTTTATTCTGGGTTATACTTAAAATTAACTTATGTTTCTCAGCCACTTTGAGGCAGGGAGAACGTTAGGCTATAATTTTCTGCTTTCTACTGACACTAGCTTTTTCAATTCGTCGGATACAGGGTGAGGTGCTATATGAGGTGAATGCCAATTCTGAGAGTTGGATGATAGCTGGGAGGAAAAGAGGGCATGTTTCTCTCTCCTCAAAACAAGGTAATGAAACATATAAAAGTTATTTTTCAGAAGCCAGTAATAGTCGCAGGAACGACTTGCTCAGTGCTATGCCTTGTTAACAATTCATTATTACATCATGACAGGTTCAAGGATCATTATATCAGTATTATGTATGCCACTGGTGGCTGGTTATGTCCGTCCTCCTCAGCTTGGGCTGCCAGACGTTGACCAAACAAATATAAGCTGCAAACCGGCGGGGCCACATCTGGTGTGTGTATTGCCGCCGGCACTTAGCTCCTCCTTCTGTATTCCAGTTAATTCTTCGGCTTAGCAATAGTTTTGTTCGAGGTTGGTTGAGTTCTTTTTTTTTTTTTTTTAAGGGAAGTGTTTGCTTTGTTACCCTTTTACACTGATAAAGTGAAAAAGCCTCCATGGTTGGATTTGGTTTGCTTAGGGCTTGTAGGCAGTGTTAGGGTCGACCCTGTCCGTGTACAGTTTTAGTGCTCTTGTATCATAGATATGCACACAGTAACATTCTTTTGTCTGGTGTAAAAGGATTGTAGCAATCATGAATATTGAGGGAAAAAAATTATAAATTTTGTGTGACTCTTGACAAGAGCTACCAATTGGTGAAACATATTGAGTTACCAGCAGTTAGATTCAATTCCATTTTATTAGAAAGGTAGTTTTTTTTTTTATTAGAAGTAATCTTATTCGAAATACTGATTTGTTTGCCATGTTATAAAAAAACTAGTTTTTCCTGTGGAATCCAACACTGTTGGCTAGCACCTAGCAGGGTGCTTTTTGTCAGATTAAATCAGAGATGCATTTAAAATTAATTAGAGTACTCATGATTACTTTCCCACGACTAGTTGGATATTTTTTTCCTGACAAGCAATGGCCATAAATTTTAAAACTAGCATTAAAATTCACAAAATTTATAAATTAAATTTAAGTTTACTAGAAATCATATTATTTTTGTTTATATTTGCAAATCTAACTTCTACTTTCTTTTTTTTTCCCCCATAATTACGATCATACATCCTGAGAAAGTACATAAATGCTAAGATAAGATGATTAGATGAGCTAAAAAGATCAGGAACGAAATGAAGCAGTCCAAAACGGGTCTAGCTATCTTTTTTTTTTTTTTCGCGAAACACCTAGGTTAATACTATAGGAATTAATAAGTGAACAGGTGATTGTATTCCCACCGTGAATAATTTTAGGGGCGCACTGTGAATTTAATTAAAAAAAATTACAGTAAAAATATATATATCACGGCAAAAGAAAATGTGTATGGAAAAATGTTTGTGTTTGAATGTGTGGAAAACTTAACATAATAAATATGAAAATTTTGATGTTTTGTACAAAAAATAGAACTGTCACGGACCATGGTCCAAAAAGCAAAACTGTTTCGCTGGCCCAAAAAAAAAAAACCAAAACTGTTTGTTAATGCGTCCCAAACCCAAATGTTACTTTTGCCCCGAAAAACAAGCCACATGCTTCTGTCACAAAATTCAAAAAAGGTCCCACCGAGATTTGAACTCGGGTTACTGGATTCAGAGTCCAATGTCCTGACCACTAGACCATGGGACCATCATGCGATTGGTTGGCATATAAGGTATATATTAGTAGATTTTATGCTCAAAAAAATTTACTCAAAAACCAATAATTGTATTAGTCGGTCAAAATTTATATATCTAGAAAAAAAATTAAAATAATTCTATACTTACCCACTTAATGATAGTCAGGTAATGCTTCTGTGGCTTAGTAAGCACATGATTTTGTTTAATTATTAGCTGCCTTTTCCAGAGAAACGATGTCATATAGTTTAATTATCACCCTAACCCTAAGTCTCAGGGCTTTAGATTAAATTTCTTATATACCCTCCCGTCTCATTTTATAAGAAACAACTAGTATTCTTACTTTATCCCTATTTATAAAAAATATTTGCAGACGTTTCAAATTTTCTTGGCTAGTTTTTATTTTGCCCCATTATTTATGCATTTCCTTATTTTCTCTCTTATACTCTCTCTTTCCCACAAATAATGATATTTTTAAATGAAAACTTACAATATTTTGATATTTATTTTCTGAAATCAATTTTAATTAATTTTTTAATCCATGTAATTTGGTCAAATATTTCTGATAAACAGATACGAAGGGACTCGGGGAGTATATTGGATGATTACTGTGGAGATTATGTGTGTGTGTTTAATGGCAGCGGATTCAATCCAAAGAATGCAATGATCAATATTAAATCATCCCATTCTAATATGGAATGATTTTGATTGGACCATCATGCATTATTCTAATAACCGTTTCTAAATTCATCATTAACAATTATGAAATACACAGTTTCATGCATGAAAATTCCCCTTCATTGCTTTCCTTTTACTTTTATGATCCCCACATCTCCTGATTTAACAATTTAACGGTCATCCTATTTGGTCTGAATCGCAAGAGGAAACGAAAAAATTCACACTAATTTTTAGTTCAAAAAGAAAAAGTCATTGCATCTCAATCCCATTGATTCTCCACAATACTTGCTCAAACCCTTAAATTTATGAACTAGTTAGGAAATTTGTTTTAATCTTAAATATAATATATCTGTGTTTTTTTTTTGTTATGTAATCTTCAGTCTCTCAAATTTGCTCTCATTTTGGTTTTAATCCCTTAAGTTTCAAATGGTCTAAGTTTTTATTGGGTTATAAATATCAATGTTTTATTTGAGGGACCAAACCAAAATGAGTATAGACTTGAAGAACCAAAGTTTGTACCAATCCAATTTTTTTCATATGTATTGTTTTTCTAGACTATTTCTATAATTAAATTCTTGTATGATACAGTATTCAAATATAAACAATTAAAAAGAAAGGAGTTTTAAGAAAATCAGTACATTTCATTTTAAAAAAATTTCAGCAGACATTTTTTACAAATAATCAGTAACTTGCATTGTTTAATCTATATAAATTAGTTAACTAACCCTGTATATTTAGAAGCTAAGAAAATACTGCCAGGGTTTCACCTACAAGACATGACTCTATTTTATATTTTAAATGGTTTTGAATGACCGTTACAGTGATCTTCAAAAGGAATGGGACTTATGACATGTATTACACACACAAAAAGGGTTATGCTCCTCTAATCCTAAATATAAAATCCTTATATATATATTAGTATAAAAGTCTTATATTTAGGATGGAAGAGTATTTTGAATGGTATTGAATGACTGCTACAACTTATAATGAAATTTGTCACAAACATAAGAAAAGTTATAATTTGGTGAATTAATAATTAGAGAAAATAAAATCAAGCCAATCAAATTCACAATTCTAAATTCCATCCTCTTGGGCAATTATCAAGAGACCTCCCAACCAAAATCAAACTACATTTTCCATGTACATAGAAGTATTTTCAAGCAAAGCCCAGAAAACGCATGCTATTTGAGAAGGATATCGTACACTTTGAGTTATAACCCAAATTAAAACATGCATTTATGAATATGTTTAAACAATCACATCAAAATTGGTACGACAAGACATCATCTTGTCCATATCTTCCAGACCAAAACGTAACTAAGTCATATGATTTAAACATACATTACGGTGAACTTCATTAATCTTTTATCACATCACATGGCCACAACATCAACAAAATTTCTCTGCCAGCCACTTAACACTAACCAACCTTTTAAGCATGGAAGATAGAGACCAGCACCAACCTCATATCGAAACGCAGTTGAAGTTTCACCCTCAAAATTCAGAGACAGCGACCCCTCAACACAATGCACTACTATGCTGTCTTATCACCTCACGTCCTCCACAAAGTTGGCACTGTCCTCCAAACAAGTATCACCTTTCTTTTCCTTTTTAATTGTAGTCCAACCTCACATGCACGTTAGTGAAAACTTCATATTTATTTTATTAGATAGTGACGCAATTTGCTTGGTTTCAAATTTTCACCGATGACCATCTAGAGAACAAAGTCTGAAACCATACAAATTAGATAAACCATAGATACCTCCAAATAGTATCGTGTCTGTTTGATTTACTTTTGTTTCATATGATTTTAGATATATAAAAAGAGCTTTCTCTCATACTTTTGTGTGAGAAGATCCAGAACTTCGTACTTCGAAAACAACTACTACACTGGACGCAGGTTACTCTTCATAAAACGAGTTGGCGGTATTTGCAAGTAGCTAAGTTCATATTTGGATATGCGCTTAAATTAGTGTCTGCAAAACTGGGGGAAAAAAAACAAACAAACAAAAATGGATGCATATAACATTTAAATATTGGTCGATACCATAATATAACCATGAAGAGAGAGACGACGGAGAAAACAGCAAACAAATTTCATTTATAGGTTAATCTTCCTGCTTCTACATATTTCTCGGTTCTATACAAAAATCAGGCATCAGTGACTACTGCTGTGAGGGTGATGATCATCATATCCTTAAAATTATAACATAATAATAACGGCTTTTTCCCGTCTTTAAATATTTCATTTGACTATCGTAACCTCATCACCCATTTTCTTTTCCCAATAAAACTCCTGGTTCGACTTCGCCTCCCCAGACGCACCAAAAACTTTTTTTTTGACCGAAGCCCCACAAAAAAAAAACTTACCATTATTATAATTATTATAATATTTTTTTTTCTATGCCTATGTCTCTTTTATGTGTAGGTATTGCCGCGTCATCAGAGTCTCCAGTCGAGGCGGACCTCCGGTGGCCCCACGACGTGCTGACTAGGCTTCCGGAAGGACACGATGTGGCTGCTCACCATGAACGCCGTCACACGCTCCGACACCCTAATGTCCTCCATCTTCAGCTCCTGCAACCTCCTAACGTACTCCGGCACGTGCAGTAGGTCCCACACCACCCCCACACCTCCCGGCTTCATCACCCTCACCACCTCCCCTACCGCCCTCATCCTCTCCGCCGCGGCCTCCGCACTCCGGTGACCATACTCCTTACCGACCGTGTGCACAAAAACCCCCGACACCACCACGTCGAAGTAGTCATCGGGAAACGGTAGCCTCCTCGCGTCTCCTTCTCTGCACGTCACGTACTCTCCCACTCCCTCCATCTTCGCGCTCCGTAAGGTTGACAGCGTGGTCCGTTTCGACCGGTCCAGCCCCACGACCCGACCCGAACTCCCTTCTTTCTTGAGCTGCGTCGCGACGGCGTTGAGGAGGATGCCGCGGCCACAGCAGCCCAGGTCAAGGGCGAGCTTCACAGACGACCAGTCGCTGACGGCGGAAATAATACGTTGGGCCATATCGTAGTGGAGAGGAACAGAGGAGTAGAAAAAGTTTGCAGCGGCGAAGAAGAGGCATAGGGCGGACAGTGCGGTGACGGAGCCGGTGAAGCCAGCGACGAATCTGGCGGAGCCGCAGGGCACGGAGGCTATTGAGAGTAATCGCTCAAAGAAGGCGCATATGGGGTTGAAGTAGAGGAGATAGAGTACGGACAGGATGGAGAAGAGGATTGCTTGACATAAGAGGAAGATTAGGGTCTGCCATTGGTCCATTCCGTAGATCGCGTAGATCTGCGTCCAGTCTCTACTCGTTGATTTTCCCATCGATTTTTCCCTTCCAAAGCGTAATCTAAAGATTCTTTGACCTTTAAACTCTGCTTAACCGGTTTTGCAGGCGAAATTTCCGGTTGCTCTGCACTTATTCAGCAAGGGGACTGAATGGAACCTCTGCAATTTACAGGAGCTGTGTGAGTAAACGATGCATCAAGTTTCCTTATAAACTAGGAGATCTTCTCGGATGACAGACACGAAATTGCCGGTTTAGTACTGTGGTACAATGAATGTGATAAAAACGAAGTATGGAAATTCTTAATTTAAAGAAGCAAGTTTTCTTCATCAGAAAGGTTTCGCCGGCGCCAAACAAGAAATTCCGGCCTCCATTTACCGACAAAATGGACGCAAGTACGAAAACCACAAAGGCTCATACAACTGCAATGTGCCAAGAGGAAGACCCCATCAGACCATTTCACTTCAGTACTCCCCTTCTATTATTCTCACAAGCCAAAACAAATGATTTTCCTTTTGTTTTTATTTTCTTTGAGAACAGCGAAACCAATAGTAAGGAGTACACTGAGAAAGAGTATTCAATTGTGCCACTTACAGTTACGAGGCGTGGATTTGTACAGAGGACATATCAGATGATTCAGATCCGTAAGCTGCAGAAAAACAGAGGACAATATCACTGGTCAGCGTTAGTATCACCCAAAAGCAGTCACCAACACACCGAGAAGGTGAAAGAACAATACTAGACCAGGCTCTCCCCATCAAATTATTATTCACTACACGCGTGTCAGGAAGGGTACCAATAAGAGGAAGAAAAAGAAGAAGAAAAAGACGAAGACGACGATGAGATACCATATTCAGACACAACGCGCTTTGATTCGTCCTTTAGCATCAGAAATGTTAAAGAAAGGCCGAAGGAGCTCAAAAATTCGGGAAACGCAATCCTGATTTTGCCGCCATTGATCACTCTGAGACAAACAAGCACGAATTCCGAGGGAAGCAGAGAGAGAAGAGAAGGAGGAGGAACAGAGTGAAAGATAAGGAGAGGGAATGGTTTTGGTTTGGTGCGTGCGTCCTCATATATGTAAAGTATGTCAGGGCGGAGTAAGGTGAAGACCTCGAGGGTTTACTGGTTCACCGGCTTACCAGGTCACTGGTATTTTTTATGGCAAATTAATCTTGCTAATAAATAAATGATTTTCTTAAAAAAAAATTTCTTGGGGGCCCTGTGGCAAATTAATCTTGCTAATAAATAAATGATTTTTTTAAAAAAATTTCTTGGGGGGTAAAATAAATAAATGAATCTTACTAGTAATTGTCAAAGGTTTTGATGGTTGTTCTTCGTAACGCAGCAATGGCAATGGACCATCCTCTTCTGGTAAATGTTTAAAATCTCCCATATAAAGCAATTTTCTAATTTCTAGACATTGAACTTTTTCTTTGATGGGTTGCAAACTCGAAGTACAAATAGCTAAACGGACTTTTTGCAGATGAACATGGAAATAATGTGAAGGAGAAATAACATTGTGAGCATTAATTTTGGTCAAAAAATAAAAATATTTTTACGTCAATTTATTTTCTTTTTCCCTTATCCATATTAAAGATAATTAGCTTATTATGAGAAACTAATTTCTTTTACTAGGCTGGATGTCACTGATCCAATGCCTTTGGTGTGAATTCATTTTCAGTTGTATAGTTTTCATGTATATACATATTTTGTTAAATGAAAAATAAATATCTTTGATCTTATTATTAAGGAATTAAATACTTCTTATACTTAGATCATGTAAATTAACAATAAATATGTAACATTTGTATGACTCTGGTTCTGTTCATTTGTTTTCTTCAAATTCAAAGAGTGAATTTGTGAGTTGAGAAAGTAAAATTATTTAAAATACACACACAGAGAGAACATTCCAACATTTTGAATATTCCATTTTAGCATATAATTTTTTTATATTTCTATGCTTGAATAAATATTTATGCTATATAAGCTTTTAGTTATTGTTTGATAATTGATATGCTAACAATAACATCATTGTGATAAACAAGTTATTCTTAAATAAAGGCAATATCTTCTAATTTACGTGGTACCTTCTCTAAGCATAAATTTCAGAGATCCCCCATATGCGTAGATTTGATCCTACTCTCAAGAATTTGTCTCTACTTTATAGCCCCAAAAAAAATCACAGCTTATAAATAAATTAAGTTGAGGAAAAAAATCAATACAGAGGAAATCATCAATACTATCAATATAAAATACTCTTCCAGTCTTTAATATAAGACCTAATTATTGAGTTGATTTTGGTCCTAAATATAAAACCTATTTCTCATATTTATCTATTTTTTCTAAATTACCCCTTATGGATACTCCTTCAATCATAATCAAGTAAAAGAGGGAAGAAAATATTAAGGAAGATGATTACGGTATTTTATGAAAAATATGTCATATTTTTTATAATTAACTAACTTACCTAACTTTTTTAACCTAATCAAATTTATTAAATAGTTCTTATATTAAAGATTGGAATAGTATAATATATAAAGCTACATTTTCCCAAACTTTGTAAAACATGCAAGAAAACATGTCTAGATAAAATTATGAATATGTAATTTTGTATCATCAAATATCAATAATCCGTCGTTGGCCCAAAAAAAGTCAATAATCCATATAATAATCCATATAGCATAATTAATGTTGTGATAAACTAAAGTATAATTGCAGATTAATCAAGATTAAGAGCAAATTAGCAAAGCTTTGAATGCTTGATGTGATAATGGGATAATATATAGAGCATTCTGTAATTTTCTATTTTCAGTAGACAATGGGAAAAGCAAGGAAACTTTCATGTGATAAAGAAGGTTATTTACTTGGGATTCAAACTAAGTAATCAATACATAACCTACTTTATTCATCCTTTTCCTTTCTTGTCTAATGATCTCAATATCACAAAAGATATACACTACCACAGTACCACCTTATTTCATTAAAAGCAAACCCCCACCTTATTATTATTCCCTGCCTTTTAATTTCTCACGAATTACTGGCTTTTCATGTCAATTTTAATATGATTTTTCATCTGATAATGTGGAAAGGAAAATTGTGAATGCTTCCTATAAATTGGGAAGGATATGAGGAAGAAAGGAAAAAAGTGTGTACACTTCATAATCTTTTTTTGTCATAACTCATTTATTGTATTACCTCCTATCCTCAATAACATGTCAAGTTTATACAAACTAAATCTTATATTTAAAATTAAAAGTAGTATCATTTGTTGAGAAAACGGCTCAAATTCACAACCTTACATTTAAGAAAATCTTAATAATTAGTTGGAAAACACCAAAGTCAATTAAGAGTGTTTGGGTAGAAACTAAATCATAATATTAAAATAAAATAATTATATAAAAGAAATTTTATCTCCATTTGCATGAAAACGTTTTTTTAAAAGTGTTTTTGATTCAAACAAACACCTTCTAAAAAAATATTTTCACACAAGTCAAAACAAATTTATCCTACATACTTACCTCAAATGTCATAAAATCATTTTTAAAAAGCTAATCCAAACGTTTCCAAAACATATATTAAGTAGCAACTAAGTAAGTTTCAAAAGAGCTTTATTTTTTGCTTAATTAAGAAGTAGGAATATGCGAGTGCAAAGTGAAATGCATTTGCAAATGAACACTATACTTGCTTTGATATCTACGTTAGGAACTCACATTAGATGGTATGTGATTAGATTGTATGTGATGATGAGACAAATTTGCGTAGTTCTAGCGGAGTCTCCAATCTCGTAAACTTAAACATAAAATCGAACATCTTCTTATATCACCTTTAATTCTAATTATAAAATTTTGTTTGTAATGTATAAAAAAAGTGTTATAAATAGAACGGGAGATAATATTATTTTTTCGAATGGGGCTCCACATAATGAGGGACCTATTAATTTTATATCATTTACAGTGTATGTTGTATGCAGTGCTCTATTGAAGTTCAAAAATCTGCCACGTTTTGGGGTTTTAAATGGCACAGTATTTTCTCTTCTTCTAGCCTAAAGCTTTTAATGGTGATTTATTATAACTTTTAATTGTATATTGATATATAATTAAATGATCCTTCCCGTCCTTTTTAGGGGGTTCTTGAAGGATTTTTTATAAAACACTATATAAAATATTTATTACATCTTTTTCATATCATTCTTATTTAATACTGTTTTTTCTTTTATCAAAGTTCTATATCACGAGAGTTTAGACGAGAACAATATTAGAAAATTTCGACAAAATAAATGAGGTTTAATATTTTTTATTTTTTGTAAAAAATTTTCCAAAATTTAAAATATACGCTCTCTATTTTTTGGTTGTTCCGTATAATTTTAATTTCTTCCTCCAAGGTAAAACAGTTTCTACTTCTTGCCAATGTTTGACCGAACCATATCAATCGGTCAGATTTGGCCAATCTATTTACACGCAAATTTTCCAACTAACATACTCCAAAATTCATTAGCAAGGAGAACAAATTAAAGAAATAAAGCAGCTTGTTCTTGCCTGCCATTTTTAAGCATTTTAAAAAAAATTTAATGTAGTGACCTTGTCACGCCATTGAAATGCTCAAGTTTAAACCTTCTCAAGTTAAATTTTTTTTTTCCCGTCAAAAAAAGAAACCATATTCCTCGGTGTGATTTTTCTGGGTCAAAGGCGTGGTCAAGAATTCAAACAATCCTCACTATTGGATCATGTACCTTTCCGGACAAATTAACATCTGTTTCCCCTACTATACAGAGTAGGAAAAAAAAAAGGCATAATATTTTTATACCAAAATGGCAAAATTTTCTGGGAAAATATTTTTTAAAATACAGAACAAACAGTCCTATAGGGAGAAAAGATTAATACATATTTTTGGATAAGGAATAATGCCAACAATAAATTATTGTACACATACATTCACTTTCATGTGATTCTCATTCTGACATAATTGAAGGCTTTCTGGAATATTTATAGCTCAACAACATTGTTTGGCTGGTAACAAATCCTCTTTGAGAATTCGTTTTTTTCAATCGTTGTTCCTTATTACTATCTTGTACCATCTCTAATCTCAATTATAAGACTTTATTTATAATTTATAAATAAAATCTTTTAATTATAAGTGAAAGTATAAATAAAATCTTATAATTAGGACCAGTCCATACGTAGCTAAGATAAAGAAAGAGTTCAGTTTTAGAGTTTCTAATTAAGTTGATGACACAATATTCATAATTCATAAATATCAACAGGGTAAGCTATTTATATTTTCAAAATGCATGAAATAAGAAATTCCAAGTACATAATGTTTTTTGAATGTTGATATTTTATTTTGTTTTATTTCTACCTTTTAAATACACTCCTAAACCATAGAGTACGGGGGGAACAGAAGTGGTGGAAGCGGAGTAAAAGAGCGATGTTTAGTAGTGAGTAAATGGGAATGGGAGGCCGCAAATCACGGTGAGGAGGGAATGAAAAGCCGTACAAGAAGGAACTTTGGGATGATGCACACATAGTAACAGTATGAAAACATTTATTGATTTGTTGACTTCTACACTCTCTGTCTCTCTCTCTCTCACTCGCCCATATTCTATTCTTGCTTCTTCCTCAACCCGTCCCCTCCTAACTCCCTCTTTTTCTCTGGTCCCTTCATTTCCATTCCGAATTGCCCCTCCTTCCTTCTACGTCCCACATAAAACCCCCACCTCACACGAATTGTCTTTCATCTCCTCAGTCCATCACTGTCAATCACCTTATAAACTCCTACCTCCGTTGATTTTTAAAAAACCTGAAATTTAAATTACATTGATTTTTTTAATAAAAATGCATTTTTACTATTTTTTACCTTAATTAATTTTGCGTATTGCATTAATTTAAAAAGTTGGCAAGTTCGCGTACTATATTCTCTTTTATATTTTCTCTTTCTTACTTGTCCTTGATAAACAAGGGCACGCTTGGAAAAAATATTA